TGCCTCCCCCATGCTCGGCAGGAGCCCCCGGCCCGCCAAGCGCTGTGTGGGGCCGGCGACGAAGCCATGGCTGCCGGGGGCGTCGTGGGGAGATCTGGCGGCATTTGTGCCCTGTTAGGTTTCCTCCAACTTCCCTTGGCCTTTTTGTGGAGTCCCACGGGACACCGGTCCCGCCCCCCAGCCCCAGGTGAGTGCTGGGACCCCATCCCAGGGGGAGAATGCTGATGCTCCAGTCCAGGGGGAAGCTGGGACCCTTCTCACCCCTCTGTCAGAGCTTTGCCCACATCTCTGCTGCCGGCCCCTCGCACAGAGGCTCACGGGAGGCAGATGGCGGCCTCCCACCAGCCCAGGCTGGAGGAGTGGGGGCTACTGGGGTTAGCTGACCCCCCCCCCGGGCCACTGCAGCTGCAGAGGGAGCAGCCATGTGGCTTGGCTCAGCAAAACGGGGGGTGAAGTCTGGCACCCTCAGCACTGGGACCCCCGTGGGGGAGCAGGTCCCCGGTGTGGCAGTCCCCTCTGCCATCAAAGCACCGTGGCTGCAGCGGCCATGCACCCACCCCGGGCTGCGCGTGGGGACCATGGGGCGGGCAGAGCCCGTGCGGCCCTGCCGTGTCACTGCCCACCTTCCTACACCCTGGAACCAGAGAGGAAACTCCCCCCTCAAAGCCTGTGGGGACACAGGAGCTGTTGGTGGGGTGCTGGTCCTGCTGATCTTACACCCGCGGAAACATCACTTGGGTCACGTGGGGCCAAAAACACATTTCAGAGGATGCACCAAGATGAGGGACAGTGATCCCACTGGAGGGCTTTGAGCACACCCTCCTCTTCGAGGCGCCGGTGGAGCTGAGCCCCAGTCCTGCTCCAGACCCACTAGCCTCGTGTGCCGCGTTACAGCCGAGAGCTGCTCCTGCTCCCGTCCATGCTGCGTGGCCAACAGCCGGGACACTCTGCCCACTGCCGCTCGGCAGCCCGGTGTTCTGCCGAGTGGGCATTTGCCCTGCCCAGCCGAGCTGCCAGAAACGCAGAGCAGGGAGAGCTCCCAAACAGAGCGGGGGGCGGGTTGCCCCTTTCCTGCTGGTTTTCCAGGTGGGATTGTCCAGGCACGAGCGAGGGAGACAGAAGCCCCTGTCCTGCCCCAAGGCCCCTGGGACAGAGGGCGAGAGCTGGGGAACAGAATTTAAGGGGTTTCTGACAAAACAGAGGGGCTTTGTGACGAGGAACGAGCCTTCTTGCGGAAACGTACAACGCAGTTGCAGCAGGAACGTTTCTCTCGCCTCCAGGATGTTATTTCTGGCTGAA